CCGTTAGTTTTAATTTACACATGTCTATTTTTAAAAGTATAAGTTTATTTTTTTTAATAATAGTATATATATCTTTACCATTTGATTATAAAATTTTGAAGAAAATAAAAAAGAATAGAGATAATTTATATCTTTTATAATGCTTGAAAGAAATTCAAATTTTGTATATAATTTATTTATAGATTCACGTAATTCTAATTATTAAATATATAGATAGTGGTATTAAAAAAAAAAATTGAGTCTATATTGAATCTTATTCAAAATTTGGACAATATATCTTTAATTTCATTAAATTTTAATGGAATTTGGAATTATTTTTCATCTTAAACCATATGTGGGACAAAAACAAAATTGTTGTTAGAATTTATTTGTAAATTCATTTTTAATTTAATTAAAAATGATGAAATTTTTTTAAAAAAATTATTAATAAATTTTATATAAAATTTCATGTCATAATTGAAATTATAAATTTCGAAATTCGATATTTATTTTAATTAAAAAAATTAGAAAATTTATCATATTCCATTTAAATATAATTACAGGTTTGCCACCGTGCGCAATTCCTTCCTTTTTTTAACAACAAAATCTAGATTATCATGAACAGTCAAATTACGAAAAATATCTCAGGTAAACAGGCCCATCTGCTACAATTGCAGATTTGTAGGCCTGCTTTCTAGAGAAGGAAGCTCTCTCCTCCCCGCGCGGGACATTTGACATGGCGGCGCTTGCTAGGCTAGTTGGTAGAAACCTAAAGCCAACAAGTACGACAAGCTCTTCCTTCCTCCCTCTAATTTCTCGCAGAGGTATTGCTTCTAAGCTCTTCGTCGGAGGTACTCTCTCTTCCCCTCTCTATTTTCATTCTCTCTGTTTACTCCAACGCTTTCTTTTCTGTTAATCTCATTCCTCTTATGTTTGATCCTCGTTCGTATTTCGAGGAGAGAAACCTAATATAAGGAAAATACTCTTGATTTCATGATAACCGTAGTTTTGAGGAGAAAAGGTTGTTCAGTCGTTCGAGAGGGTGACAAATGTTAATTCCATTCCTATCTCGAATTAGTTATGAATTTAAGTTCCTAATTGATTAGGTTTTATTAGAAACTATTCTCTGATAATCAAAGTAGGAATGGAAGTTATTTCTTCGGAAACTTTATGATCAAATTTTATACATGAAGAATAGTAATTAAGCGAATAGAATTTGAGTTGAATTGAACCAGCCGTTAATGTTGGAAGAAAATGATAGATGGAGGATTCAATGTTTATTCCTGCTAAATTAAATGGTTTATAACCAAGCTGATTAGCTTAGTTTCTCTTGGGTTTGGAATAAACAATTCAACCAATTTTTATTTGTGATTTGATTTTTTTGCCATCAACTTCTACAGTTAATTGCCATATCTTCTGCAAGTCAGTTTTAATGGAAAAAGAATCATCTCCTCATGGATATTACTGTTAAAAAGAAACTCCCTAGCTTTTTAGCTACTTAAACTATGGATATTATTATGTGCACATATAACATTTTCCTAGTGTGTTATTATAGCTTTATTAATAACGAAATATAAATTTGTGTTGACTAATAAATAAAATTCATAATTAAAATCTTTATCAAACTATTAACTAAACTGTACGATTAATTCGATATGTACTCATTAGACAACGAATTTTCCCTCCAACTGAATGGGAATTTGTACTCTATTCAAAATTATATGACTTTCATTCGGAAAATGAGAAGAAGAATGTAATATAAAATGATTGTCCTCCATTCTTGGCAGGTCTGTCATTCTACACAACAGAGAAGGGCTTATCTGAAGCATTTTCGCAGTATGGCCAAGTTATTGAAGGTGATGATAATGGCATTGCTTTCTGCTATCCACTGAATATTGTTCTTGAAACCAAGAATTTACATTTTCTCCTCTGCCAGCTACAATCATCACAGACAGAGTCTCAGACAAATCAAAAGGTTTCGGATTTGTGACATTTGCATCTGAAGATGAAGCCGTGAAGGCCCTTACGGAAATGAACGGGAAGGTGAGACCTGTTTCCCTTATTCTCTCAAATGTTACCTGTTCATTTCAGGGTGCTACTCTCAGCCCAGGAAATATCATGTTTTGCAGTAATGTTCTAACATTTCATAATAGTTTAGCAACTTCATGTGGTTATCAGTTAATGTTTGGGAAAAATCAGATAGCCTATTTCCTTTTCTCTTTCAATATTACCCAATAATTTCATGGTGCTAGAGTATACCTCGATGTTATCATGATCTGCGGTAATATTCTAACATTTTATAGCGATTGTGTAGTAATTACTTACCATTATGCAATAATCAGATAGTTCCATGATATTAAGAGATAATATTTCAGTGTAGTTCAGTTAATTTGGAAAGGGGAAAACTGTTTCTGGGTGCTACTGAAGTATCATCTTTTGCAGTAATTTCTTAACATTTAATATTAGTTTAGTAATTTTATGTATTAATCAGTTAACTACACAACATTAATAGATAACTGTGCAATATTAGATTATTAATATACATTTATTGTTGTCAAACATAAAAATTTTTATATAGCATCTTAATTACATAGTATTTGAAACAGTTTAGCAAACATTGTGATCACTTTTTACGACAGCATGCTTCTAAAAAATAGTTGTTAAACACATGTAGAAGTTTTCGTACTTTCACATAGCAAAACTCTTTCTTTAACATAGCAGAACGAAGCCGGAATTATTTTAAAAAATTGCTGTTAATGCCTCATACTTCTAAGACACACAAAATTTTTCCTTCTCTCGTAGCAGGCACTGAATGGGCGGGTTATTTTTGTGGACTACGCGAAACCAAGACCTACTTTTGGCAGCGGAATGCCAATAGCAAGAGGACCTCCTGAACTGAAAACTGAAGATTAACAGACAGGAATAAGAGGTACTTTGTAAAGGCTAGCAAGGAAAAGGAGAAAACCAACAGGTAAGTGCTAATTTCTTCCACTCTGATTAGCTCTTCATCCGGGAATTATAAGAAACTTCTTTGTCATTTCCAGTCTATTCAACTTGCAGAAGAGCACTGGAGTAGAAGCTCGAGCTGATGAATGATCAGGTTTGTGTTGTACCCAAAATAACTATTTTGACTTTTTCCAATTTACCTTTTTTTTTCACCTTGGTAATTTTATTTTTATGACTTTATATAAGATTATTAGATGAGTATACCTGCACGTGTCTGATTTTTGAAATTTTGAAAGCTAAGCTAATTAAATTATGAGATAAACTATAAAATAATATAAGATAATAATATTTATGAATAAATAAATAACAAAATTCTTACTAGAGATATTGAATCCCAATAAATTAAAATCAAAAGAAATAAAACTTATTTATTGTTCTTTCTGTTCCTGCATCCAGTCTTTCTGAACACTCTTTGTTCTTCAATTATTTGCTTAATACTTTTGATTAGACGTATTAACCACCCCCATTTCTGATTATAAACCCAACTAACGAAATTAATTTAATCAAAAGAGTAATTTGTAAAATTAATTGTTGATAAATTGTTTATTTGATATCAAGAAATCAAAATTAATATTAAATTAAATGTATTAAAGACGTGAGAATGGGGATGGATTTGATTTATTATCAAGTTTAATATTTATTGGCACAGTAATTCTTAAATTTCAAAATAATTTTATGTTTGATATCTCTACTATTTTAAAAAAAAATATATATTATTTAATTTTAATTTATTACAAAATATGTTCAAAATAGTTTTAAATATTGATAAATAATGTGACAATAGATATAATTTTTACTTATTTTTTATAATAACATATAATAGTTATTTATTAAATATATTAATTATCTATCTAATATGATAGTATTACTATGTAGTTAATTTTTATATAATTAAAAATTTTAAAATATGAATTATATAAAATATTCATCAACTATTTTTTTTACATCTTATTTATTTTATAAAAATTTTGAGGTATAATAATTATTTTATATTTTGATTAAAAAAAAATTTACTTTTATACAAATTAGTGATAAAAATCAAATTATATCATGGGTAATAAAAGATATAAATCTAGTAGTATAACAAGTTTAATCAAACGACTATTATTAGTATATTATGTACACGCATATTTTTGTGTCAAATTTGTTGTTTTTATTTTAGTAAATTAGAAAAATTGAAATCACTCTTTTACCATTTCACCCACTAACCGATCAAGAAAATCACACACTAGACGTGTCCCTCAAATAATAAGCAAACGCATTAAATCCTATTTAATTGTCAGTGTGCATGGTATTATACTATCTTGACACTAGTACTTAATGATATACATCTTCCTAGACACGTGTGATTATATCACATGTAATTGACCATCTTACATGCCTGTCCAATAAATAATATGATAATAATAATAACTTTCCTAATTATTTTAGACAGAAACTTATATAAAATTTCAAACTATTTTTCTAATTTCCTCCTATATGATAAATTATGTAAAAGTACTCTTTTATTTTCCTAAATCTACCAAAAATTTCGCTCCCCACTTTAAAAAAACTTGTATTGTCGTGACTCTAATTTTGTCTTCCTTCAACAACCTCAACTTTGTACAAACTTAATTTTTTTACATTTGAAATTTACGTACTTGAAATTTCAATTTTTAACGAATTTACAGATAATTTATGTCATATTTTTATAATGAAAACTTAAAATGTTTTCCTCCACCAAAAGAATAAACCAGATGAAGCAACCAAAACCGCCATTAAAACACCTAGTATATCCAGTACTCCCTTTCTCTTCATCCGTCTTTCCTTCCTCTTCCT